GCCAGAGCTCATTGTGGCTTATTCTGACTATTCTGGCCATCCGATCTTCAGTAACATGTCAGTGTAGGCAGTTGTTGATGAATGTCTGTAGTTTGTTGGAAATCCCTTTCGTAACGCGCCAAGACTCTGAACCATATAGCTGCACTGATTTGACGTTAGTGTTGAAAATCCGGATGTTGTTCACGCTTTATGCTGAATGCAGTAGAGTGCAGAAGATCTTCACACTGGTTTCAGGCTAATGAATGCCTGTCTTGCTTTTTCGCTTCTCACTTTAACGTCATCATCGGTGCCTGCGCTGCCTGTAGTTGAAACAGTGCTGCCTAGATAGGTGAAGGAGGCTACTTACTTTAAGTTTCTCCCATTGATGGTGATTTCAGCTTCTTTTGTTGTTGTTGGTGTTGTTGGTTGGGTATCTTCATCACCTCTGTCTTCTCTACCTCCTTCATCTGAAGTCCAGTCTTCGCTGCCTCTCCTGTCAACTTGTTAGTATCCACCTGTAGATCTTCGAGTTTGTACGACATTATACACAAATCATCGGCGAAATCCAAACATCAATGTATTAGTTTTATTGAAAGAGTTCACTGTGGTTATTTTTTAAACAATGAAAGGTTGTAGGGAAATCATTTAGTAAACCTAAACTATTTTAAAAAAAGTATCTAGAGGATGCATATACCTGAATTAAATAAAGCATATTTTACCTAATGACTATATTTTGTGAGTAATACTATGAACTACGTCTCATAGCGTTGAAAAATCCTCTTCGTGAAATTAGTTCAAATCTTATCGATAGCTTTCATAAAATAGATATCGTATATTCAAGCGATTACTTTGCCTACTTAGTTCAGTACTTCAGAACATCATGTGATATGCCACGTAAGTAGTGTGATTCTCATACCCCATCCAACCCGTATTCCCATGGACCTCTGCTTACTATTTTCCAAGCAATGAACACGTCCAAGCATCAAAGCAGGAATATTACAGCAGTGAAGTCAGACTAAAAGTTAGACACTTTATGACTGGCTTTGTTATGCTTCACTTTCTAACAGGCTAATCCGTTCCCTGCTTGCACCGAGCCTTAAAGTATAAGATGTTTGCTGTCCACCAAATGGGACAGTAAGGCTCTATTAGTATGATTTTCAAGCCATTGGCATGTTAGTAGAAGTATACCATATGTTGCCAGCCCAACAAGTCCAGTTAAACTGATATATATATATATATATATATATATATATATATATAATTTCCGTTTAATTACTATTATATAATTACACGGTCTTAGTTTGTCGAAGGAGTTGAAGGAAAATTAAAATTAAAACGTCTTTTGTCTTTAGGCTGTGTTTAGCATCACTGACAAACACGTGATTTTATCAAACAAGTTTATGGAAATGAGAAATATATCTAATGTTTATAAACGGGTTTCACTGTATTGATCCTTTGAATATTGCTTACTTTTAGAAAATAGGGAAAACGACTTGTTGATTAGCAATACAGCTATTGGGTTAACCAAAGAGAGTTCTGTATTTTGTGAAAAACCACCTTTTCAGTCAATGCAAAAAAACCTAATTAGTTTTTTTAGTTGTAACAGTATTTTACGCACTACCCGAAGTTTTGACACACAAGAGATAGTTAAACAATATGATTTCGGGCGACTTTAAAGGCCACCCTAGCAACGAGTGAAGTAACCAATTAAATTACTGTATTTTATGAAAATCTGCCTTTCCAGCCGAAATGAAGAAACGTAATCGGTTATTTTGACCGTTGCTAGGGTGGTCTTTAAAGTTGCTGTGATTTTTCTAAGATTAGTAAGGTATGAAGAGAACATTTCAGGAACAAAGTAGAGATTAGTTGATTGAGCTGTGTACCAAACCTACACCGAGAAAACTAAATTGGAGTAACCCTGATATCCACCCTAGCAAAGACTAAAATATTCAACTTACTTTCTTCATTTCAGCTGAGAAGATGGTTTTCTTACGAAATATAGAGCTCTAATTGGTTAATCCATTTGTTTCTCAGGTGATTTTTAGATCACTACTAAACTCGACGTAAGAAAACGGGTAATGAGTGTTGCGTCAAATGGAGACCCGAAACCATATCAATAAAATGATGGCTCTATGACATGTGATTTGGATATATGAGTGCCACACTTCATGTTAGTGTACCCTCTGACATTAAACCTCAGTAATGATCCACCTAAACCCCAAAACATTTGTTATTTAACTATCTGTTCAACCACTCTTAAACAACAGTTTAGATTCGTGTCACTTCGGGCTGATAAATTTTACTTGATCATAAAACAAAGAAACGAATTCAGAGAAGAATCACTGTTCTCAATGCAGTAAAATAAAAATATCACATTTAATCGGTGATAGTAGAGGAATATTCCAAGAAATATTTTTAACGAAATTCAGACCAGGAGATCGGCGAATAACATTACCTATCGTATACAATGGAGATCAGAATAAAATGTTTCAAAACTAACGCAATATAGGTAATCGTAGGTAACTGTACAGTTTGAGAACAGTACTACAGGAGGGAGTAAGTGATTCTTCTCTATGTGCATTTATTTTTACGAATTATTAAGGATTTTTATAAGACTCATATGTCATTCAACTAAAACCAGTTGAAAAACGACTATTGATCCAAGTGACATTCGAACAAATCCAGCCGTCCGTCTTCGGATTAGTAAGCCTGATAAGTTACTGATTGATACACGTGTAAATTTCAACCGTTATATGTACACAATCTCCCTTGCATTTCAAGTCCTAAAATGATTAATTTTTATTTGGTTCGTGAAACTAAATTTATCTATCTGCCTTATGACGACTTGTAAAGAAAGTTATCTTTCGGAATGAGTTATAATTTTGAAGAATGATCAGTGATTGCCTCAAAGAGATTGCTGTTCCAACTGGAGAAATTTACGTAAATCACTCAAGTATAGGGTACTAGAAGAAACAGTCATTAGTATAAAACTGATGAGGTACTTTAGTGTATGAAGTATCGTTATTTACTCAGTTATTCTGTCACTTGGTAGTCAGTGTAATTAGTTATTGCTCATATGATCACTAATTTGAAGTGGACCTGTGACTCGAGGAGAAAAAGGTAGGTCCACAAATGTTTCTAGAATTTTATGAACCATGCTCATTCCGGTGTTTAATTAATATGTAAAAGGGAAAATCGAATTATTTCATATTTTCCTCTAAAATACAATCATCATCATTTTTGGGCAGATTAAATTCTGAAGTATATGCTTGCCTTCTTATTTTAGTTAAAAAAACTGTACTAATGAAATCATAATTATCTGTTAGTAGACAAAAGAACTATTAAGTAGCTAATAATACATTGACTCACGAACCCGGTAAATTGTCTGTTAACCATACAGACAGAAAAGGTTGAAATGCCTGGGTGCCACTGTCTTATCATGGTGGAAGGAGAGGTGATGCTAAAGGAGCAACGAGCAGTAGACTGACCTGATTTTAGCGGGATAACCGAAGCCAGTCACTCCACGCCGTCCCGGCTAATATAGTAAGGGTAGATATCCTAAACTTTAGCACTTTCTCTGTTAGTAGAAGTGAATGGCCCGATGTGTACACCATTTACAAGCATTACGCCTAATTAGAAGCCATCTGTATAGGCGGTGACGTTCAGTTCATCTGGAAAACCGGGGAAGACCCAGAAAACTAAAACAACTTATGATGCACTGACAACAACTTTGACTCAATCTGAAAGCTGCATAACTTTATCAGTAACAAATACAATATAATTGTGTTGTCAAATTAGTGAACCGAATTCGAAATGTAACAACAGAACATTGCTAAGATCTGTTCATGAGCATTTAAGAGCTTGATTATACAACTGGAGATTACAGCACTGTCTTGTAACACAATATATTTACTTCATAATTCATCGTTTGCAGAAACTTCATTTAGTGTTATCAATGAAGTGGGAGGAAGTCACACCGAAGAACCTCTTCCATACCATCTCGATACAGTAGTAACCTTAGTTTTTAGGTTTGAAGGCATTTTCTAACTCCTAAATTCTTGTATTTCTTGAAGTTTTGAGCATTCTAATTTTTCTTAAAATTTACTTTTGGTGGCGTTTCTACGTAGCTTCCTCGAAGTAAGCAGTTATTTTCTTATGATATTACATTTTTAGATTTTGGCTTTGAAGCGGAAACAGTCACTACCAAACCATGCTCATCACTTAGTAATTGCATTATTCGGTGCACTATTAGATTCTCCCTAAAATATACTATATCATTTTTTGATTCTTCTGATTTATGTTTTGAAAAACATTTCGTTACTATCCGATAATCTGTTCATTACCCCTGATGAAGATGTGCGTTTTTCCTCTAAATACAACTTAACTTGTACAAGATGAAACGAATTAACCGGAAAAATTATCCTTATTTTATTGTTTTATGGCAACATGGTAGCTTTTGCGGAATTATACGGCAATTCCGAAATTATTTTTGTCCTACTATGCGTATTAGTTCCACGATGTTTCTATCTAAAAACCAGCCACACCCTTTTTTGTAGGACCTCCGACCAAACTTATTCAATATACTGAAGTAGATGGAAATACGGACAGACAGATATTTGTGAAGGTCGAAATAAGGTTATTTACATATAACAAACAGGATTGGATTAATAATTACTGTCGACCAATGACAGAGCAGCAGTTGATAAGCCTTTCATGTGGCAGAAGTTTAAGCTAACCAATCAAAATACGTAGATTGAAAACAAATGGTATATTTTGCACTGTATCTTTGACGATTGAATTCCATAATGACATGAACATCCTATCAATACTGTATATATGAGCGTACCTCTAGGTTTGTCATAATAGACATTGTTATCCATCATCAGCTTACGGTCTTGTCCTGAGGAGAGAATAACTACACATTTAAAAATTTCGCACCTCATCACTATTTATTTCCGAATGTCATGGGAACTCTTGTTGGACAGAGATATGGCCTAGGACGCAACTACACTGGATCTTAGTGGAACTGAATAATTGCGGATACTCGACCAACACCTGCGAAGATCAGTTTGATGATATGAAAAGTTCAACGGAACAAAGTTGGAGCAGTGAACCAAGTGATTTATCAGTGCCCTTTTGGATGTCTACAAGTGGTCGAACTTTTGATGCCTATGAGGCACATTTAGAAACATCATCACTTTTGAACACTTTTGCTTTGGATGTGCGGGACTTTTCTGGATCTTCGCTAGTTTCTGAGAGGTCAGATGTGCAAAATACCAAACATTTACTTGGCGTAACTCAGTTAATAGGATTAAGCCGCCTCATGAAGTTCATAATGCACAAATCTCGTCAGTGGAACAAAAATGATAATATGAGTGAAAATCCACATAGTAGTTCTTTCACTGATTATATCTTTGCTCAAGCTCAACTAAAACAAAAAGCAAGAAGACGAGGTCATTATCCTATATTGCAAACCTTTTCTCATTCAAGTTCACTGAATGCAAGTTTAACATGTATTGCCGAGCCCAAATATACAGGTTCAAATGGTCAATGTACGCAGAATCTATTAGAAACTTTTACATACACTCGATGTAAGCGTCGTCACTATAACAGTGAAAGTGGTTTATTTCTACCCGAGGCTAACTTTACAGTTACCCAACATCAAAATGAAAAGAAATCTGAATGTGAAAGTGACAGCCGATTATCTAAAGATATTTTATCATCAGGATATCCAGAAGAAGTAAACTGTTCTATGTTACCCACAGACATCAATACAAATGATACAAACAGTGAAGTGGCAGTTTCTCAGAATGAATGTCAAGAAAACTACCTATTGTCTGGGGAACGTGAGATTGATGCACTAACAGTCAACGCAATCGAAAATTTTGCTCAGTGTCTTCCAGAAACTGTTAGTGAAGGATCAACTTGTTCAGATCAACTCCAAGAAATGAATTCATTGCCTAATCTCACGAAATCAAATGATTCAACTGTGAATCAGATAACCTTACATGATGAACATCAAGTATTTACAAACAATTTATCAGACAAGTCAATTGTTGCCACATCTCAGTCAAAACTGGATCTCAAATTGATTAAGTCTGTATCATTTGCTGATGAAATTGGCAAATCCTTAACTGAAACGTTCATCGTCTATGATGAAGGCTGTTATGATGAACCACCAGGTAAGGCTGAAAACATTCTGTCTGTTATTCACTACATTACTGACAGTATAATTTTCTTTTGAAAATCATGATATTCTATTTTCAGTCATAACTGAAGGTAAGAAGAATATAATTTGTGTGTTGACAGCATAGTGACAGCTCCTGCCTACATCCCTTAAATTTGTTCCTCATTTATCTGCAATGAAACAAGAATATTTTCTACAGACTGAATCAGAAAGTGAGAAGTATAGTCTTTTATGAATTCTAAGAGATCATGTAAAAAATAAATCTTATAATCATAGATATGGTAGAAGAATGTGTTAATTAACAGCTTATTTATCACTGATATAGGAAGTTCAGAGAGATCCAGTGCATGACGTCAGTCAAATATATATTGAGCAATATATATTTATATTTTGAATAGACGGTATTAATATGCAACTGGTTTTTTTGCAGAAATAAATTATTGACAGTTAGGGATAATAGGGGAACAGCAAAACGGGGGGTCCATTCTAGGAAAATTTGATATTCTTTACTGTTGGTGTCAAAATTTTAGTACCACTGCTAATAGGCAGTATGTTAAAAGTATTGCTCCAGTTAAGCAGCATTACTGAGTATCTCACTTTGCGAATAAATTCATGAAGATCCGTAGAAGTAAATAATTTTATTTATTGCTGATTCTATATTGGAAAAAGTGGTTGAAAGGTGTGTTAAATGTACTTTGCTTTGGTTCACATCTCCGTAAAGAAGTACTGAGGAACAAACGGTTTAACAATCACACAATATAGTAGTCAACATGTAACGAGTCATGAACTTAGCATTTTCTGACTGCATGTTAATTGACTAACCAACATTAACAGTTTTTTACTTAAACTGATACACCTGAAAACTTGTTGCATTACTTGGACATGCAATTTTTATTTATCCTCCCCCCCCCCCCCAATATATTGAACATTTTATTACTTTTATACCTCTCACTTCTTTTTAGATGTGTTTCTTTTGACATTAGAGTGTACTTTTTTCATTCTTTTGCTTTCTTTTTATCATATTAGTGTCGTCTTTCATACCTACAACAAAGACTAGGTCCTCAGTTTCGCATCTAAACGGTTAAACTTCTGTATGATTCAGTAAAAACATTTTCCTTAACAAGTCTTACAATAGATACATCGAAATCACTGTATCAGGAGAATTTGCAATTAATTATTTGGGAAACGATAGACACTGAAATGCCCTACGCTGTTTTGAAAAAGATACATAAAATGATCTTTTCAGTTGGCTTTTTCTCCAGAAAGCATTTTGGTACGCTTATACATATTGACAGAAGTATTTTTTGGATACTAGGACATAAGATTGATGATTAAATTATCAGAGTATGTCATTTACGATCAATAAGGTTAGTGTTGACAGAAAACTTGAGTTGTGATTGGCTTTGAACTAACTACCTTAGACAGTCTTATCTGGTAACTTACCATTTCTTCAATTTTACAATTGATTAGTCGGCATAGAATAATAGACCCCATAATATAAACTGTAGTAATAACTGTAATAAAATGGTCTATTTTTATACGAGCCTACTTCTTAATTAAACCATATAAATTTTCTCAATTACCTTAACAAAAAAAGCATGTAAATTGATAGACAGACACGAACGCCATATTTAAAACCTTGCACAAGAGTACATCGGTTCACTTTGTCAAGTTTTAGAGTGATACACGAGAAGCGTATGATAAAATCGAATACAAACGAATCTGGATCAACCAGATATCTGTAAGTTCAAAAACGACAAAGAATTAATGGATCTGCACCATTTTGTTCGACTCTGATATCTTTTGGTATCTCTAACGTTTATTCCTGCTACTTAAAAGATCAACTAGGCAGCTCATGCATCACTACATGTTTAAAATAAATAGTCATAGACTTCATGGAGTGGTGCTGCATCGTGGTGTGACAAAACTTAACCTTCTTTCGACTTCATCCTGAACGTTGAAATAGGTAGTAGCTGAGACTAACTAATATCTTTTCAAACCATCTCAATCGGTGAATGTTTACAACCTCAACAACTTACTTGTTTTTCCTGTTTAGTAACTTGTGTTTAACCCCGACATTACCTAATCTACGATTTCATCACAAACAATAACATAAAGCAACCTAAAGTTCATTAATTCTCTAGCTTCGCTTAGAAATAAGCTACGGTTAATTACAGTCTAACAGTATCATCTTAAATGTGATACGTACTTCATATGCCAAACATATTCACGTCTCCTCTTAGGACGCTAAGAAAACCCTACATTTGTCAGCATGTATTTCTAGTATAGCAGTGATATCTGTATATTCTATGCTCACAAAAGGTTATTCAGTGCTTGAGAAACATGCGGTATAAAAAATTGCTGTTATCATCGAATATTATTATTATTATTATTAGACCCTTGGGTTCCTAATAGAACATAAAGCTTCAGTAGCACGTCTCCATTTCACTCTCTTCTCTGAAATCTTTTCAACCTGGCTCCACAACTGCCCACAACCTCTCACTTCCTCCTCACACGATCTCCTCAATGACACCCTCAACTGCGACGCCAAACTCGTCGCTTCCATGGGGATTCCACTCGAAGACCTGGCCTGATACGCGATGTCGCCAGTCGGCCTTCTCAGTGTATGCCCAATCCATCTACACTTCCTTCCAATGCATATTTGTTGAGTGATAGGTTCTTGGTTGGTTCGTTACCAGCCAGAGCTCATTGTGGCTTATTCTGACTATTCTGGCCATCCGATCTTCAGTAACATGTCAGTGTAGGCAGTTGTTGATGAATGTCTGTAGTTTGTTGGAAATCCCTTTCGTAACGCACCAAGACTCTGAACCATATAGCTGCACTGATTTGACGTTGGTGTTGAAAATCTGGATGTTGTTCCACATGCTGAGTGCAGTGCAGATCTTCACACTGGTTTCAGGCTAATGAATGCCTGTCTTGCTTTTTCGCTTCTCACTTTAACGTCATCATCGGTGCCTGCGCTGCCTGTAGTTGAAACATTGCTGCCTAGATAGGTGAGGGAGGTTACTTCCTTCAAGTTTCTCAAGTTGATGGTGACTAGAGTTTGTTGTTCTTGTTGGTGGTGGTGGTGCGGTATCTTCATCACTTCTGTCTTCTCTATATTCACTTGAAGTCTCGTCTTCGCTGCCCTGCCTCTTCTGTCACTCTTTTAGTTTTCGCCTGTAGATCTTCAAATTATGTGACATCAGGCACAAGTCATCGTTGGCGAAATCCAGATCTTCTAGGTTCTTTTCCGCAGTCCAGCCAGCGTATCCCCCTCTTCTCGCTCCCCACTGTTGTCTGCCGCATGATCCAGTCGACCACAATCAGGAATATCATGGGTGATAGTAGGCAACCTTGTTTCACTCCTTCCTGTCTTCACTTCAAAAGCATCACCGAGCTAAGCTTTCTATTGTGAATTACTTGGCATGTCGCGTCTTCATATAGTTGTTGAATGAGATTGATAAATGTTTGTAGTATTCCATAGTAATGAAGCAGTTTCCAAATTACCTCTTGGTCGACGCTGTCAAAAGCCTTTTCGAAGTCGGCAGTTTGACAAGGTAATCTTTCTTCCAATCTCCTGGTACCTTCTCTTCCTTCCACACCTTCTGCAATAGTGATGTGGTGTGAACATGTCCGCTGTTGTCTCTGCGTCGGTTCTCAGTGCTTCTGGCGAGATCCCATCTGGTCATGCTGCTTTCCCACATTCAGTAGCTTTATAGCGTTCAGAACCTCCATTTTTGGAGGATTTATGTTCACTTGTAGTTCAGCGGCTGGGCTGCAGGTGGTATTCCCGGACGAAGCGCAGGTGGTGGTGGTGGTCGATTCAAGAGCTTCTTGAAGTGGTCGGCCCATCGTTCCCTTTCTTTCTCTTCTTTGTAATTAAATTTCCATCATCATCTTTTATTGGTTTCGTCTGCGTTGATCTCTTCCCTAACAGATAGCAACCTGATTATTTGATACAATGTTGTCAGGTCTCTCTCACCAGCCTGCAGCCTGTTCTGCTTCACTTGCCAGTGTTTTGTAGAAGTGTCTTTTGTCTTCCCGTGCTCTCTTCTTCACTTCTTTGTCCAGTATAGTGTTTTATACATTGTACTCAGTTCCTCTTCTCGTCGTTCATCCTTGCACTGCACTGGTTTATCTTCTGCTTCACCATCCTCCTCTCCCCCATCTATCAGCTTCCATGTATCCATCGAGATCCATTCCTTGTCTTCTTTCTTCTTCCGTCCTAATACGGTTGTGCAGGTTTCTCTCCACATAGCTTTCAAAGACTTCCAGTGTTCTTCTACACAGGTTTCTTCACGGATGTTCCTCCATATCTCCCATTTTGTCTTGATGACTGGCTGCCGTTAAAATTTTCTGTGTAGTTTCATCCGTCAGTTTCCGAGTGTTGTACTTGAACTGCGGTCTATCACCAGCTTTCTCGAAGGCTTTCAACTTGATTTTGAAGGCAGGTTCCTTACACTAGATATCGAGTGGTGTGAACCCACATCTGCTCCTCTTCTTCACCTTGTGTCAAGTAGGCTGACTGCGTCTCCATCTCCATTTTCTTGAGATTGAGATGAAGTCGATTTGATTTTTAGTGTGTCCATCTGGTGAAATCAACTCCATGTCGCTGACTTGTGGATATCCTTGTGCTTGAACACACTGCCTCACCTTCAGTCACCAAATCGTTGAATGCACAGAATTCTGCAAACAATTCTCCATTCTCGTTCATCACCTCAACGAGCTCTTCTCGACCCATGGTTAGTTCTCTTCCTGTGTTGTCCCCTCCCACTTTGGCATTCATGTCGCTCCACCCATTAGAATTTTGATATCGCCAACTGGGTTGTGATCTTGTCCAGTGTTGATTGCAGTTGTCTGTATAATTCCTCCTTTTTCTCTTCATCTGCGTCTGCATTATTTGTAGGTGTGTAGTGTAGCATTGTATGATTGTGACCTTCCTCCCTTTTGAGTTGAATATTGCTGCCATGATCCTGCATGAGGAGATTGGTT